GTGGAGGCCAGAGGACAATCTCCATGTCATTCTTTAGGATTCATCCACCTTGTGTTTTGAGACAGGGTCTCTCGTTGGCCTAGAGTGTCTTGAGCAGGCTGGCTGCTCTAGAGAGCGTCCTGTCTCTGCTTGCCCAGTGCTCGGATTGCATATGTGAACCACTATGGCCAACACTTTTATATGGCTTATGGCAACTGAATTCAGATGCTCACACTTGTGTAGGTTTATCTTCTGAGCCATCTCTGCAGCCCCACCCTTTTCCTTATACAGTGAATCCTCACATCTGTGTGTTTGTTTCTGTCTTCTTGTTCTGCTGTGTGAGAGGGTACAGGGGTTTTCCTTATTTACTGCAGGGCCAGAGTTACAGTAGCTATTCCACCTCATAGCACTTGATCAGATAAGTCTTATAAAATATATAGATTAATACTTGTGATTGATACTTAAGACAGAGATAGCAGATAAGAAATCTAGTCATTGGCCAGCAGCATTGTAATTAATATAAGACTTTATGTGTTATTTCGGGCGCCCACATGGCAGCAGGGCTCGGGAGGCTTGGTGGAAAGATTTATCCTTACAAAATACTACAGGGCTAAAGTTACAGTAGCTACCCGCTTCTCATAGCACTGTGAAGCTTCCCATACTTACTACAGGGCTAAAGTTACAGTAGTTACTCCATATCATAGCACAGTGAGGTACAAACTGTAGCTCATCAGAGCCTGGCCAAGTACTCAATAAAGGATTTTTTTTTCTTTAACAGTTGTTTGTCTTACAAGCAGTGCTAGTGACTCTTAATTATTATAGTAGGTAGTCATTGTCATTATCTTTTCCCTTACGGCCGTGTGTACACCTTTATTTTTCTATTTGAGTCAAATTCCAACTTATCAAGCTCTTAAGAAAATCCAGGAGGCCTCCCCCGTGACTCTGACTGAAGCTACATTTTATTTATATATTAAGCAGGAGGTCTGACATCTTACCCAGTTGTGATGTCTTTCTATAAGCAGCACCACTTTCCAACGATTTAGGTTTTGTTCTATGCTCTTTACTTATGTGGAGGCTGAGGCATTGCTTTTTCTAGCTCCCCACTTGCTGTGGTTAAGATAGGCCCTCTCCCCTCAGAGCAGGGTGAGTTTCCTCACATATTTTGAGATATATTTTCTTTCAAGTCCTTCAAACAACCCTGGGGATTTCAGTCCTTAGCAGAAGAACTAGAAAGGAAGAGTGAAAGGGAAGTGGTAGCTTTAAACAACCATGAGTCACCTGTGTTTATTTTTACCTCATCTTAGGGAAGCTGGTTATCCCTATTTTATAAGTGGCTTTAGCCCTATTTTGTAACTGATGCTGAGAGAAACGAAGCTGCCTTGACCAGTAAAGAGAATTCACCCCTGGGATTTGGGAGGCCACTCCTCCACTCCCACCCTACGCTGCCTCAGATTTCTGCATTTATCGTTTATCTTAGCAGAAGTGAACCCCAGACCAAGTGGCCTGCTCCTGGGCCAGGCTGCTGTTCCTGAGGTCTGTTTCTAGACCGGGCATTGTGGCCAGCATGATGTGGCCCTTCCCAAGAGCAGTCAAAGTAGCTTGGTCTGTCCTTCTGCTATTTAACCTGGTGTGATGCCCAGAGGTTGGGTTATACAGAGTGCCTAGTGGGAGACTCAAGGAAGGGTGATGGCAGTCCAGGAATCTCTCATAAAGCACAGCCTTGTGTCTTGTTATCTGGCCACACAGCGGAGGATGTGCCAAGGCCTGGCTAAGTGGTACGGACATCACTTCCTAAGGGACGAGGGTCAGAGTGAACAGAGGTGTCCAACCTGGACCTCACCTTCTATTGACCATCCTTGGCCATGGATGGACCCCTATCCCGGGCCAGCGGCTGCCTCTCCATCAACAACACTGTCAGGCGCTGCTTTCCTAGGCTTGAACATCCATCTTCCTTAGACATAGCGGGGCATCAAATGCTTGCCTTTCTCTGTATGTGCATACCTGGGCTCATTGCTAGCCTGAATCACAATGGAATAGTCTTGTTGCAGCTCTGGGCTCTGAGACCTCTGGAGTCCATCTGCTCTGGCCTCTAGCAACAGGAAGAACCAAAAGGGTCCTGGATGTCCTTAGGACCTCCAGAGAGGGAGATATGAGACTGGATGGTGGAGGCCCCAGACTCTAGAAGGCTCATGTTCGGGTGAAGCATCTGGTTTCATCTATTGAGAATCTGAGTGATGGTTCACTAGATTGGAGGCTCTCAACCTGTGCGTCATGACCCCTTGGGGTTGCCTATCAGATATCCTGCATATCAGGTCTTTCCATTACGATTCACAGCAGTAGCAAAATTACAGTTATGAAGTAGCGATGGAACACTTTTGTGGTTGGGGGTCAGCACACATGAGGAACTAACTGTATTAAAGGGTCACAGCGTTAGGAAGGTTGAGAACCACAGTACTAGATGAGACTGTTTTGCTGTAAGGAGGATGGCATTGGACTCTCTGGTCTGTGCTGGAAGACTCTGGTTCTTTCTGGAGTATTTCCAGATGTGAAAAGTTGGTCTGTTCCACTTGCTTTCTTAGTTTGGGATGGAGGAATGCCTGAGTCTCTGAGAAGACACTGCTGTAGAACTGGTGTTTTGACACAGCTACTAGCAATGGCTGCCTGGTACACAGCATGCCACTGGGGTGGGCATGCAGGGTAGTAAGACAGAGAAAGTAGGTCGAGACTCCTGTCCACAGACTGGACTATGAGCTGTGGTCCCCAGTTGTAACGACAACTCTTTCCACCAACCGCCCAAGCCCTGCCGCCATGTGGGTACCCAAAATAACACAAGGGACTTATATTAGTTACAATGCTGCTGGCCAATGACTAGGATTTCTTATATTCTTGCTCTGTCTTAAGTATCAACCATAGCCATTAATTTATATATTTATAAAGACTTATTTTATGGAGGATGCCGGCGGCATGCCTCCTCTTCCTGGGATCAGATGGTGGCTCCACAGAGAAGAGAGGAGGAGGAAGAGAGCAATTTCCTGCTTGTCCCTGCTTATATTCTGAGTCTGCCTGCTATGTCATTTCCTGCCTGGATCACAAGACTTCTCTTTCCTTCATTTCCCAGAATCCTCCTCGACTCCTAGTCCTGCCTAACTTTCTTACCTATTGGTCAACAGTACTATATTTATCAACCAATAAGACAAACATATACACATTAAGGTTTTTTGTTGGGGGGGGGGAAGGGACAATTCCCTGTCCATTATCAGAACCAACTGAGATATAGGAGTCAATAGACAGAGATGAAAATGTCACTGTCATGATTGAGAAAGCTAATCCTGGCGGTATAGTTTGTACCCGAGGGAAAGGCTTCTAAGTGTGAGCCCTGTAGCACACTACAGACTTATCCACCTGTCCCCGGTGGCATCAGAGACTCACAGGCCTCTCCTCCCATTTCCTCCCATCATTTATAAACCGGGACCAGAGTCCTTGTCTCCTAAATCACCAACCCATGAGGATGGAAAGATGTCCCCCCCTCCAAAGGAAACTGCATACCAGGAACAGGAGGTTCCTGCCTCTTTACTAGCCCTGGGGACCACCTCAAGATGAACTCTATGGCAATGTGAACTTTTGATGCCAGCTATCTATCTAGACAGAAAGGACATGATCTGAATGATACCTGTTTAATGAGGGAGTGTTTGTTTCTAGAAATAACAGTGAGCAGAACTGAGCAGAGAGAGGCATACAGCTTATACAAATGGCTCTGTTGAAATGTGGGGAGTTCGTGAGGAGCTGGAGCTCTGGAAGAGGGACAGAGGCTCCCCAGTGTGATGGGTGTGGAAGCTCTCAAGCTCCCGGGGTGGTGGGTTCTCACAAGCCTTGGCGGTTGGGGTATAAAGAATAGGCAGTGAGGCCCTACTGGATGAGCCCTGAGGCATCGGGCCCAGCTGGTTTGTACAGTGCAGGGGAGGACTGAAGCCCTGTAGGAAGTAGGGTTAGAAGGATGGAGGGGTGAGGCCCCTGGTCTCCACATGGGCGTGGCTCCCCCATCTGGTTTGATGAAGTAGGAGTGCATCCTGGTTTCCATTTGAAAAGAGCTTCGTGGAGTTTTCTTTGGAGCAAAAAGAAGGTGTTTTCCAGAAGTGTTTGCCCTGTGTTGCCAGCTAGAATACGGCCGGGTGTGGGTTGGTGCTGCCATGCTCTCTTTGCGGTTTACTCTTGGTCGCTTCAGTGCAGAAGGTTTCAGATTCCACAGGTTCTGAGAGGCCCCTGAAGACACAGTTACAGAAACCTTCCAAAATCAGTGGACAATTCCAAGGTCGTGTTTTTCTTGGTTTTGAAATGCGATTCGTTTTGAACTGAGGATTTCCTTTAAAATGTGCTTTTCTTAGGGTGGTGTTATAATCTCCTGACTTTCTCGGAGCACCCCAAATCTGATGGTTAAAATTATGCAGAGGGAATGAAGAAGAATTTTGGTCATGGATGTGTATCTTTGACATATTTTCATTTGATCTATTTTCTGACTGCTCATGCATTTGTATGCGTTCCTGCTTACATACAAATTCAGTTGTTTCGGCCCATGCTTGCTCACGCGTGTGCACAGGGATGGCAGTTTCACAGGCTGCATGAGACAGTGGGGAGATCTTCAGCCAGGGACAGAGTCTGTGTGTGGCTGGCAGTGTGAACCTTCGCTTGCATGTCTTACTGTCACCCAGTGCTCTCAGAAGCTCATCTAAGTTTCTTCTATAAGTGAAAGAAGTGAGATTTTCAAGCTGTTTTCTGTTTTACCAGATTTCAGGCTCTGTGCTTACAAGACTGTGTGACTGTAAAAAAAGCCCCCAATGTGTAGTCACTCTGTAAGTTTTCACCCCAGCAAGAAAGAAGTGACAGTGACAATAGTCCATGCCTGAAGTAACCACAGCATTTAACAGAGGGTTAATATTTGTATCTGTTCTCTCTCAATCCTTTGCTTCTCCAGTCCCTCAGACGAGGATGCAAACGACTGACCACCCTTTTGGTGTTCCTTCCAGGGACACCCGTGTGGTTTTTTGTGAAGATCGCCCCGATCCGGAACGAGCAGGATAAAGTGGTTCTGTTTCTTTGCACATTCAGTGACATCACCGCCTTCAAGCAACCCATCGAGGACGACTCATGCAAAGGTTCGTGACCCTGATTCGCGCACGTACAGTCGTGGCTCTGATATGCACACGTACATTTGTATGTTTTTCCCCCTCTTGACTCTCAATTTTGCTACAGAAAATTTGAGGTCGCCAAGGCAATCTTGTGCAGAGATCAGGGTTTAAATCTTAGTTTGTGTTGGGTATTACATTATTCTGCTGTGTGCTTGGGGAAGGGAGAGACAGAAAATGTTGTTTGGTAAAGTGTTTGGAAATTAATCCCTTTTACAGCTACAGTTTGATGCAAGAAAGCAGCCAGGCACATCTGACCTCACCAGGACTCTTCCAGGCTTCCTTCCCCTTTTCCTCCATCCCTCCCCTGCTGGAGATTATATGTGTGGCCTTGTACATGCTAGGCAATCACTTTTCCACTAAGCTATCACTCTTGACAGGTTTTCACAGTCATCCACATGGGTAGGCATTTATGACTTCCAAGTAGATGTCCTTGGGTCTGTCTTGTAGATGGTTGCAGCCTCTTCAACACAAGAAATCAGGCAATGATGAACCTGAAAGGGGAATTGACAAGAAAACTGAGGTGTTGGTAAATGGCTATGTGTCTGCCGTGTCTTGAAATCAAAATATGGGCTAAATTAATTTATTTGAGCCGTCACACAATTAGGAAAAGGTAAGATGCACCCACATACCCAGCACCATGCTCTGAACCCCATATATATATATATATATATGTATATATATATATATGTATATATATAATGTGACTTATCTGTGTCTGCTCACATTGCACCTGTGGCTGGTTAATTGATTTTAAACATGGCATTACTGAGCCCAGGGACTCGGTAACATTTCTGTAGGGGTCATCTGACCAGCTGCTTGGCCTTAGATTTTAGCCAGATTGTAAGTGTGCGTTGTTTGGATAACAGTGGCAGCTTTGGAAAGGAGATAGCAAGATTGCTGGGAGAGTTAGGCTCCTGCACGGGCTCAGCTCCCAGGGATAAGAAGGGCAGCATGCTGTGGCCAGGGGTCTGAAGTCACAGGGTATCAGAGTGCCCTTTTCACACTCCTCTCCTACAGTTCACACTCAGTTCACCAAGAACCCAGCAGCTGTTTCATGTTGCCAGGCTACCTGGATCTGCTCCGGAGCTCTGCTCTTGAGAATTGCTTTGCTGGGGCTGAGAAATGCCAGCGGAGTCCAGGGGAGAGGCAGGCTGGGGCATGTTACCCTGAATGTGTCAAAGGCTGTTAAATGAGCACCATGGGGGTGTGGAAATAAGAAACATGAGTGTGTGCCCTCCATCTATGTCTCTGAGGGCGTTAAAATCCTGTCACAGTTAGACACATTTATGGATCACAGCACTGTGTGTGCGCCACCCTTTTCCAGGGTGTGGCAGCTCAGAGCATCAGTTCCAGGTAGACCCCTGGTTTGAGCAGTGTCTTCCCTATCCGAAGTCTCCCTCTCCTTCTAGGCATCTCACTCACTGCCCGGTTTCTAGTTTTGATTTGAAGATTCCTCAGAGTAGCGGATAGTACATGGTGACTCACTTAGAAGGTCTGTTTGCTTCTTTCAACCTAACAAACTCAAAAGTGCTGTTCTAAGGGCGATCAGATATTTTGACAATTATTTTTTAAGTGCTTACTTAAAAAATTTAAAATATGTGATTTGGCTATGTTAAATGTTTTCTGCTGAGATAGAGTGGTATGTGATTATTATTATTATCATAGTAGGAAAGGCATAGCCTTCTGAGAGTGTTTTTTATCCGGCACATAAGTACCTACTTGGTTCTCACAACAAAGAAGTGATGAATCAGAGTGATGATGTGAGACTTGTTTGGGTTTATTTCCCAAGAATCATGTGCTCCACTTACTTAGCCTGACCTGCCCCTGTGGTGCATCTGGTTGCTGATGAGAATCTCGGTGCATTCCCTCCCTCCCTCTCTCCCTCCTTCCCTCCCTCCCTCCCTTCCTGCCTCCCAACTATTCTCTATTAGCCAAGGTAACTTCTTGTCATGTATTAATTTTTTTTTTTTTTGGTTTTTCAAGACAGGGTTTCTCTGTGGCTTTGGAGGCTGTCCTGGAACTAGCTCTTGTAGACCAGGCTGGTCTCAAACTCACAGAGATCCACCTGCCTCTGCCTCCTGAGTGCTGGAATTAAAGGGGTGCGTCACCAACACCCGGCTAATGATTCTTATTGTCAGTGAAATACATGCATAACATGTGGCTATTTGTAGGCAATTTAGAACACATACATATACAATGCATATTTATAATAGACACCTACCTGTGTGTATGTAGAAACATACATGAATACGTATATACACATGCACTCACATATGTATATACACACATATACACATACGTACACAGACATACATATACATATACATGTGCACATACATACACACATATGTATAAGCACATGTACATGCTCACACATATTATCTTTCAATGCAAGAATCCTGGTAGAGAATTAAGCCTAGGTAGGCATTAAGCCACCTCAAAGACATGACTTACTAAGCCTCTGTCCAGTGCCCTGTGATGCTCTTGCTTTCCCTGCCACCATATCTCTGGTCCACTGTGGTATGGTGGTCTGCACAGATCAAAGTCAAATTTTATATTAGCATGCTTATGATGGAAAGACCTGGGAATTGGTGTGGTCTGATCCACATGGAAAAGTGTGGCTGTGTGGCTGAATTGCTTCGGCTTGACCTTACTTTCTGGAGATGCTCTTGGTTCATTTCCACTGACCCTGCCGGGGAAGGGTGGGGGTTGCAGCATCAAATCTTCAGAGCCTTGCTTCCCTGGGCTTGTTTAGAACTCATTTAGATCTCTTAGATTCTCAGAAAACACCTGCTTTCCATGACCTTTCTGCTCCCCACACTGATAAAATCAGCCAGTGCCTTCCCTCACACACTCGGAAGTCAATCATGCATTTCTTGGAGAAGGCAGTGCAAACCTGGCTAGTCTCATTTACAACTCCAGCTTGTAGCTCAGTTTCTGCAAGATCAGATGATGGAGGAGTTGAGACAATTCAACCAAGGCAGAGAAGCTATCTCCATCACCTTCTGTGAGCCAGTGAGAGCCTTGAGCAGAGGAGAAGTCTAGTTCTAGACACTTGCTCTGAATGTGGGTACTCTGGGGCTCCTTTTCCTTATTTGTATAAAGTTCATGAAACATGCCTGATGTGTCTCAAGGCTGTGATCAGAACAGAGCTCAAGTATGTTGGAAAAGCAAGGTGCTGCCCAAACCTCAATACTTCACAGTGTTGCAGGCACCAGGTCCTCCAGAGGACACTGGGCATTGTCCTATGGTATATCTGGGCGAGGACATCTGCGTGCTCTTGGTGTGTGGCTGACTTTGTCTTTGTGCTCTTGTGCTTGATTCAGGTTGGGGGAAGTTTGCCCGGCTGACCAGAGCTCTGACAAGCAGCAGGGGTGTCCTGCAGCAGCTTGCTCCCAGCGTCCAGAAGGGCGAGAATGTCCACAAACACTCCCGCCTGGCAGAGGTAAGGGGGGGCGGTCTAGCCAACCAGCCTCCCTTCCTGGGAGTGTGTGGGCTGGTACGCTGGTGTCACTTCCTAGGGGCATGTGGGCTGTTATGCTGGTGTGGAAAGGGTCTCCTGGGGCCCCCAGCTTCTTGGCTGGGACCTTGGTTTTTCTGGATTCCATAAACTGTGCTATGTAACCTTTTTGGTAGTAGAATTTTGCCGTTTGTGAAGGCAGGCTGGAGACAGCCCTGACTTTCATGTGATCCGATCGCCGGTGTCACAGCAAGGAGCCGGAAATTGCTTCTTATTTGGCCTTTCAAACAACGTATAAGTTATAGACGATTTTGTTATTTTAGCAATATATACTATTCAAGGAAAACAATATGGAAATGAAAAGAAAAAAAAACAGAAAATCTTCTGCGATTTCTGGTCATGTAACATTATTTGGTGTACATTTAATACTTTCCTTTGGACACATCCTACTTCCTAAAGAGGAACTCCACATTTAATGTTTATAGGGTTGAGATATATCTGAGAATGACCGTGTTTTCCCTTCTTTCTTTATCTATCCACGAATCCTTTGCAGGTTAATAAACGTTCTTAAAGTTACTGATTCGATAAACTCTGAAGTAAGGACAGTCTGAAGTGGTGGCATTCTCCCATTTGCTGGGGTGTGTGAAGCCACAAGAAGTATCTGTCAGGTTAATGCACCCTCATCTCCGTACCCACCTGCAGTCAGGCCTTGTCTTCAGATTCTTAGTGAGATGAAGATGGGATCTTCTCAGGACGAGTCATGCTTCCCTCAGCAAACCTCTGTCTCAGCCAAATGTACCAGCATAAGCTCTCAATTTGCCTTGAGATAGCTGGTCAACTTTTGAGCATTGGGTGAAGGTATGACCCTACTGGCCTAACTTCTGGCTTTTAAGGGAGAAATTCCCAGCATGCTGAGCTCTTATGGGTGTCGGGCACACGTGCTGTGCATGTTGGGTAAGTTTGTTACACAGGCTCCCCAGGAGCTTTTGTAGCTTTTGTCAACAGTGGGGATGCTCACCATGCTGAGCAGAGTCCTTTGGCCGTACAACTTATAGACGTATTTTCTCTGTTTCTTCTTGATGATAAAGTGACCTTTGGCCCTGCTTGTCACCTTTGCTTACTGTCACATGGCCACCTTGGCTTCTGTGTTGTTTCTTTTATGTATATAAAAGGCTGGCTTTCCCCATGAATGTGTCTGTGTGTCAACTCCTTCCTTGCAAGTCTTTGCTTAAACACTATTTTCCCTATGTGGCAGTCAGGGGTGTTGCCCGAGAAATAGATAAGAGATTCATTGCAAGGAACCAGCCTATTTGGTTGTGGCATTTGTTTGTACATATGGCTAGTCAGCAGACTGGACATTTTCAGGAGGAGCCAAAGCTGAAGTTATGGGTATATTCCTTCTTTCCTAGGATCTCAGTTTCTTATGACTCCAACAAAAGACTTGACAAAAGAAACTTGGAAGGGTTTGCTTTGGTCATGGATTAAGGGGATAAATTACACCGTGGTGGGGAAAGTCTTGGTGACAGGAGTGGGGGACCGTTGGTCATGTTGCATCATAGTCAGGAAGCAGAGTGAATGCCGTGGTCAGCTCACTTTCTCCTTGTTAACCAGGCTGAGACCCCAGTCCATGTAGGGTGGGTCTTCCCTCATCACTCAATTCTCCCCGGAACCCCTTTCACAGACAAACACCAGAGACATGTCTTCTGGGTGGTTCCAAAGCCTGTCAAATTGACAGTCAAGATGGGAGTCATGCTAGGCAGACAGCCTTCGGCTTCTGAGGCCTTCCTTCAGGTTGGATGAGTGCTGTTACATAATGGGGGGAGGCATTCCCTTTCCCCTCAACGTTAACTGGCAAGATGCTAATGAGCTCTACAATGTCCCTTTACAGGGACACTTACACCTGTGTTTGCTTGAAGACTGGGTGCCAGTGCCTTCGCTGAGTTGACATAGAACTAATCATTTTATTCTCTTGTCAGTGGAGTGCCCACACACATTTCCTTAAGCCACACTGACCTCCCAGTAAGAAAATCATACTCTTGTGACTCTTCCTTTCATGGTCACTGTCCCTGCTGTTCAGTGGATGATGCCACCGTTTCCCAGAAGGGGACACTGCATCTTCAGAGACCACGCCTGTACTAATATGTAATGCTGACTCCTATCAGTACATGTTATATCATGTGACAAGGAGAAAGAAAGGACAAAGGTGACAGTATAATTAAACAAGGGAAGGACAAGTGCCTCATCCACTTCTTAACTTGCTTTAGGTATTTTTTCCCCAGCACATATTAACATCATATATCTTATAATATAGAGTCTGCTTAAAATTTTATTCACTCATGTGTGAAAGTATGTATGCATGTGTGAAAGTATGCATGCATGCGTGTGCAGGGGTGTGTGTGTGCAGCGTCTCTTGCTAAATCTGGGGCTTGCATTTCCATGGCTCAGTTAGCGGCCAGCAAGTGCCAGCATCCTTCTGTCTCCACCCTCCTTGGAGCTGGGGTTACAGCACGTAGGTAATGCCTGGCTTGTTACAAAAAAAACGCAGGGATCTGAGTTCTGGTTCTTCATGACCCCTCAACCGTTCCTCCCCGCTGAGGCATCTCTTTGGTCCAAGTCTACTTCTTTTGTTGTGTTTGTCGTTCGGGGATAATCCCAAGCTCTTAGAACCACCGCTAGCACTTACAGCTGTTTAGTAGTGTTACTTAGTTTACAGAAATCGATTTAATGAATGAAAGAAAGCAATGACCTAGTGTTTCGTCTGTCAGTCTGGAACCCTCTTGGTTCCAAAATGAGACAAGAATCTGGGACTCCTTCCAGGGTAAATCTTATCTAGTGGCTTACTGATTTTATTGCCCTTTTCAGAGTACTAGCTTTTGGTTTTCGCTGATTTTCTCTGTTGACTTTCTGTTTACCATTTTTTTAGTTTCTGCCTAGATTTAGCTATTTATCTTAGTCTTCTTACCTATGATTTAATTTTCTCTTCTTTGTCTAGTTTCTTAAAGCAGATGTTTAGATTACTGATTTTGATCTTTCCCCTCTATCAAAACATAAGCTTTGGTAAATTATAGTTTTATTTAAAATTTTATACATTTAGTTAAAACACGTCTTCACTTCTTATGTGCGTGTATCTGTGTGGGTGTATGCATCCATATTCACTCAAGAGGCCATAGGAGGACATCAGGGGTCCTGTCATGTAACTCCCTACCTGACTCCTTTGAGACAGGGTCTCACTGAACCCAGAGCTGGGCTGGTGACCAGCGTGGCCCAACAGTCCTCCTGTCTGTCCCAGGCAGTGCTGGGACTATAGGTGTGTGTGTGGCCACGACTGGCTTTTTATATGGGTGCTGTAGAAGTGAACTCAGGCCCTCATACTCGCAAGGCAAGTTTCTTACCCACTGGGTTGCCTCCTCAGCTCTCCTCGTAGTTCTTGCCTCACAGACTTAGATGCTGTTGTGTGCCTGTGTGGCATGGTTATATATTCTTGGAGAACTGGCCCCTAACTGTAATGCTGCCTTTGTCCTTGATAAAGTTGTTTTCTCTGAGTCTGTTGGAAATGAACGGAGTTGGGCACCTTGCTTTCATTAGATAGTGCTAGCACGGCACGTCCTTCTCCTCTCGTCCCCATCTCATACTTAGTACGGGGCTGCAGACAGCATGTGGCTGGTTTGTTTTAAATGTCAGTCTGACAAGCTGATCTTAACATGATTACTGAAGCTCAGGCTGCTGGCTGGAGTGTCTGGGCATCTCTTCTATTCGCTGCACTTGATTTTTGCCCCCATGGCATTGACCACTCTGCTTTCCTTCTTGTCTTGTTTTTAACTGAACATTTTTATGGTTTCAGCATTTGATGAGATTAAATGTGCTTCTTTTGTGTGTAC